GCAGACCCTGCACTCCCCTAAACACAGAGACTGCAATTGTGTCCTCTCATTTTTTAGGGGTGGGTGTGGGTGGGTGGGCCGGGGTTCCTTGTGTGCTCCTCCTCCTTTATTTACCCACTCAGGGAAAGGCCCCTACATGGCCGCCTGCTTCCAACCTCCCGCTCCCCAAACTGTCTGAGAAGAGAGTCACTGCTGTGAGTTCAATTCTTACTGAATAAAAGAGTTCATGGGTGTGTGGTGTGGACAAGGAATGTGAAGATGGCCAGGAGTGTCGGAGCAGTCGGAAAGCATGGGGAGCTTGTGAGCATGGGGGTACGTGCGGCTGCCTACCTGCAGATAAGGACAGTGATTGTCAGGCTCTTAACTTCCATAGAGGTCCAGGAGAACTGTTCTATCAGATGAATCAGGCAGAGTTTGGGGCTCCTCGGGGGACCTGGAAACATGGAGGTCTTGTCTCAGGATGGTGCATACTGTGTGACATTCAAGGTTTTGAAGCATCTATATAACCAGGGCTGGGTAAACCTGAAAATGTTCAAGTTCTGCTTCTAGCCCCAAGTTCAGTAAACCTGGCCCCAACCTAGCCATGCACTGCACTGTGATGACAGTCAAGAACTCACCACCTCTTCCTGCAAACCATCACAAGCCCAGAAGGGTCAATTGCCCAGAACCAGGAGAAGGAAAGACACTAGAAATCTCCCATTGGATCTAGCCCTCTCCTTCCACCTGGGGCTGAGGGCACAGAATATGTTTTCAGTTAATGGGCATCTGATTCCACTGCACCTAAACTTGTGACACTTTGGGTTCCCTTTGGCAGACACCTTGACACTCATGCTGCCAGTGTAGACCAGCTCAGATTATTACTGTTTTTTGCTCAGCCCAAGATATAAGCACCTTGTTTCTGATTTCTCAACTCTGACCTGCTGTCAAAGTTCCTGACCAATTGGTCATCTTTCCACCATGCTGCTTTGTGGAACAGTGAAGAGGCTGGTTTGCTGGGACAACAGATTGTTGGTCTTGGAAGCGAACACAGAGCCAGTGCTATCCAAACGGAAACCTGCCCCAGATGGTTCTATTAATAGGATATCTGTGGCTTTAATATAAGGTCTGGAAGTGACAGGTTAAAATGTGGGTGGGCGACTGGAACCCTCCTTAACTGCACGTGTGCTCATTAATGAAGAGTGTTTCTAAAAGTGCCCATTGTTCTGTGGGTACCAGGCCATTCAGTGAAGTGTGTGTGATCCTGCTACGGCTTTGGAGCCTTCTTCCTGTTAAATCTGCACTACACATCTGTCCATAGCTGGACGGGAGTTCTTTTATTCTTCCCTCACGTTTCTAAATAGTGTCCGACCCCCTAGGGCAGCACAGCTGTTGGGCATGGAGGAGAGAATGCCCACCCGTTTCTAGTGCAGACACACAAAACTGGACTTGCTCCCTTGGCAGTCATTTTTTTTGACTGGTGAGTTAAATATCATTTGCTTTTCGATTCTCACCTTGCGCCCCATTGTGGGGCCATAGCCTGAGAGGTACTCAGCTCATGGTGATGAGCCTAGAACAAATGCCCAGAGTGACAGATCAGCTAGATGTGCCAAGTTCCATCCCACTGCTTGCAGTGAGAACTAAAGGGGCTCTGTACCGTTTGGGACATGGCCCATGGCAGTGGTGGGTGTACTAGTCTGGTACAGTTTGAAGGGCTGTACTAATGGGAAAGTGTACAACTCACCAAGGATATTGTTTCTTTAGCCAATTACCAGTGTAATAGCTGAAGGCCAGAGTATCTGAGCTGAGGAAGTCAGCAGTTTGCTGACTGGGCACCACCATCTTATCAGAACAATGCATTTTTCCTGCCATCAAATGCATGTTCTTTTACTTCTCTCAAATTGCCATTTAACATGTGCCAGAGGAAATCCAGGTGACATTGGGGAAGGTCAGTCAGACGCAGGCGGGTGTAATATCCTCCAAGCAGGCAAATCACAATAAAGGTTAGTTAAAAGAAACATAATTAGGGCCAATGTTGGCTCCCGGGGTGGAGGTGGAGGGTGAATGGGTGCCTAAGGGAGCCAGAGCTACTCCCTAAGAGTGTTGACACTCCAAACCTTGGCACTGTTCAGCCTGCCTCCCTCTCCATCTAGGGGAAACTGTGGGAAACAACATAAATAAATCACTTGGAAAAATGAAAACCCTCCTGATTTTTCCGGTGGGCATGAAAAAGGCAGAGTCAGAGGCACACCGAGGCAGGTCATGCTCACCCCCTTCATTCTCACTGTCAGGGGCGGCTCTAGCTTTTTTGTCGCCCCAAGCACAGCAGGCAGGCGGCCTTCGGCGGCATGCCTGCGGGAGGTCCGCCAGTCCCACAGCTTTGGTGTACCCGCCGCCGAACTGCCGCCGAATCCGCGGGACCGGCAGACCTCCTGCAGGTATGCCACCGAAGGCAGCCTGACTGCTGCCCCTGCAGGGACCAGCAGGGCGCCCCCCGTGGCTTGCCGCCCCAGGCATGCACTTGGAGCGCTGGTGCCTGGAGCCACCGCTGCTCACTGAGATGGGGCATCAGTCCCACTCATCCACGTTCCTTTCCTCTTCCTTCTCATCAGGGACTCATCTTTGCTTCTCCGGCTCCCCCCAGCTCCACTGAGGGACACAGACACATATGTGAGGCGAATAAAGGCTTTACTTTCTTGCAGCCCAAAAGACATGGTAGAGTAGGGTGAGAAAAGAAGGTGGAGGGGAGAAGCTTCCCTTTCCCTCCCCTTCAGCCCTGCAATTGTAGCCCCAGCAGCACTGTGAGAGCTGAGGATTGTTGTCCAATTCAGAAAGCATTTGAGGGATGTCTCTAGGTGTCTGTTTGGGGCTTGTGTGTCTTAGTGCACACACAAGACTGGCCACCTGCACCAGCAACAGCATCGGGCCACTCAGCCCAGACAGACAGGAAGCAGAAAAGAGAAAAGATAATTAGCTCACCCCATCACTTTCTCTCCCCTTCTCCTTGGCTGTGCTGGGCTGACTGGGGTTCTCCAGTCATTCCGGGAGTCCAGTCAGATCTTGATTAGCCCAACTGTGGTTATCCAAAGTGAGGTCATGTCCCCAACATGTATTAATTGCATTGAGAATCATCTCGACTGTCTGAACACTGAATTGATTCTGATAAATGAACGTCCATCATGCTATTTCGTAATGGAGGTTTGAGTGTACCAGGCTCTTGCTGGAGGGGATGGCACAGTTGTCTAAGCTTCCAGTTGAAATTCCTACTTTCTCTGGAACTGCAGGTCTGAAGCCCCACAGCATTGATTCAGCCCTTCCTCCTTCAAACATAGATAATTTGATCCTGTTTGTTCTGCCAGGACATTAAAAATCCCATGGCACATTTTGCAGGAATAGAGAGCCAGGCCCATGCCTTACCCAAAATGCCCATTCCTCACATCATACAGTAAGCAGTGTGCGGGCTGCCTACTGGATTACCGGATTCAACCCCAGAGGTGCTTACAAACAGTTAACCCACCACTAGCATTCAAAGTGCTTTGGCTTCCTTTGGGATAGAAGCCATTATGGAAATATGGCTTGTTCTTTTATTTATTTGTGGGAGCAGCAGGAATCTTGGACACCATACAGAAATGGCGTAAGAACCCACTGAGAGAAAGAGAGAGAGGCTCATGAAGAGAGACTTGAGATGTGAGCCGATTGGCACCAGCTGAGGATCTGGCCCAGAGTTTTGGTCACCTATTTATCAGAAACTACAAAAAGTTTGTTGAGGGCTTTTTATATGAAAGTGAAATGTGATTTTCTGCTTCTTATTTATTTATTTTAGAAAAGTGGAGTGAAAGCAGTTTTCCCAGCCTCTCACCACCTTCGAGTTGTTGGCCTCCTGGGAGGAATTAATCCCTACCATGTCTTGTTTAACTTGGCCTCATAAAGAGCTAACCTTCTTGTAAGTTGGAAGATCTGCAGATATTATGCATTATACAAAGTGGGAGTCATTAAGGCATAAGACATGGTATCAAAAGATCGGAGTTCTAGGTCTGATTCTGTCACAGATGCCCTCTGTAGCCCTGGACAAATCTCTTAAGCCAAAATGTTCAAAGATTCTGACTATCTGGCTACATATTTGTTTCTAAATGTAGATTTAGGTGCTTAATTTTAGGCACCCAAATTTGAAAACGTTGGCCTCAGTGTGTGACTCAGTTTCCCTTTCTGTAAAATGGGAATAATATTTACCTAACTCAGCTTAAGGTCTGTAAAGCGCTTTGAGATCTTCAGATGGAATGTACTAGAGAAATGTAAGCTGTAGTTACCACTGTACATTTTTCCAGCTTGGTTATTATTCTGCGTGCTAAATGGTTTTGAGTGGATTGTTAACTATAAACACACAACTATAATCAAAACAGAGTGTGTTTTAACCTCACCCTGAACTAACTTTCTCATATAACATGAGCTCGCAGAGAAAAATAGTCTTTAAAAAGCAGCATGCTTTCAACTTCAGCAACCTGAAAGCACACATAATAGCATCTTATTATGCATCTAAGGGAGAGCAGCCACTATTCTAATGACTAAAGCAGGGATCACTAAGTAGTATCCAATAATCTGGCTGTTATTCCTAGAGTAAATTGTTGTGTTTCTGAATCTTTACAACTGGTGATCAGTCTCACACAAGGCTAAACATTTGGCTTGCTAAAGTATAAACTGCAAGCCTCTCATTAAATGCCAGTAACAGCAACACCCTTTCTTCTGAGATTATTTACATGGCAAAGACAGTGACCACTGCAAGGGTTTCTAGCAAAAATACAATAATTTGTGTGGGTATATTTCCCCCTGCAAATAATATGCCTTTGTTTTACAGAAAGAGTGTTTCCTCCCCTCACATACACATGCATGTAGAAAATGCACAGTATAGATATATACACATTATGCATGTTTGTCTTTCTAATGCATATGTTGTATAGTTCCTCTTTCTCCTTTCACTGTATTTTATCTTTAAATTGAGAGAGCTTTTTTATAACACGAATCATCAGAGAGGAACAGCTAGTTACCAAGGAGACTCCCTGATGAATCAGAGACTGACTGGTATAAGATCTAGACACATTGTATCTTCTTAATTCATGAGCCCTTACATTTTAAACAGGGGGGGAAAGATCCTATCACAACCAACTGTGGACCATGCATTTCTCCTGCCAATGAGGACAGTTTTTATTTTTGCCACAGAAGCAAATTAGCAAGTGCATCTTGTGTGGAATCAGTTAACAGATTTAGACAAATGGGGGAATTTCTCTGGAGCACTCTTGATTCAGAAAAACAAATACCATCCAAGGACGAAGGGCTCCAGATGGAGGCGACAGAAGAAAAGACTTAAAAGCCCCTATTTCCATACAGGAATGAACAAGAAGATGCAGTGTCAAGTGAGTACTGGAGAAGCATCTGCATATCTGCTTTGCTGCAGCCTTGGTATTTCTAAAAGTAAAGGTTGTGTCAGAAGAAAAGGTGTTTTCTTCCTATTTATCTCTGCATGTCTGGCATTGAACTGAATGGATCAGGATTCTAACTTCCACAAAACCAGTTCAAAATTGGCTGAATGCAGAAGCTAGACTATATTCAGCATCAACAGCTTTCGTCAATAATCCTAATGCGTCAATACCATTGTCCAAAGTATTGTCAATAAGCCTTGGTTTTGTTTCTGACTTGTCCACAGTTTTTCTCCAAGTACCAGGCGAATGTGATGAATTTTGCAAAGTGACATAAAATGCACTTATCCAGTACAAACCTGAAGTTTCCTGCTGTTAATGGGAATTACCATAATGTCCATGAAACATGTGAACAGTTCAGTCAGCCGAAGATGTGTAAACAGAGCAGATGAGAAGAGGAGTTTTAAAAAACGTGGCAAAAATAAGGAGCTCTGTAAAATAAAGTTTACATGTGGGAAGCTCAGCTCTTTTAGACTTACTTTATTCAACAGAGGGTCTCCTTACCCCGCGACTTCTGACTGCTCATTTTAGGAAAATTACTGAACACGTCGGTATTTTTCCTTTCCACTTAAAAAAAATAATAATTAAACACCTTTGGAACTGTAAGAAAAGTGAAAAATATTCCAAGACAGACATCGAGAGACAAGATTTATGGAAATCTCCCTCTTGAAAATAAGCTATTTTCTCAAAGGTGAAAACTACAGAAGTATGTAAATTAAAGGAAAAATCTTTTTTTCGGATCCAGTTGAAATCTCCATACTGGGAACAGAGAGTCCACTGTTGCTAAGGTAACTTGATCAATCAAAAGTTGGCTTATATTGCAGGATATATTGAAATGTATGAAATAAGCAATGTATCTGAGAGTTAGACTGGCCAGCAAGACGTATCTGGGAATGAAGATTAAAGAGTGTTAGAACAAATGTAGGCTTTACTGTTAAGTGTGTTTTGGAAGAAGAATTCCTGGAGTGTTAACATTTGAGAAGAGGCTAATGCTAGCCAGGTTGTTAGTCAGGGATTCAAGTGAAGGACCTTTTATCGGCAAATAATTTCAAGTACCATTTTATTACATAAATTACACTCTCTCATCTCTCGAATGAAATTAGCTGGTGGCAGCATTTATGGGCTGAAACGAAAAGCTTAAGGTAATAATATTTTAGTAATGCAGATTGTAAGGTTTATCGCCACTTAAAAAAAGGTCTTAGTAGAATAGATTATAGAACTCCCATTTGAAGAGAGTATTATCCAAAATAATGTAGATTGATAGTGATTGAAAACAGCACATGGAATAATGAAGTGTTATGACAAGCACTTATAGACAAAAAGCTGGTTTGGGCATCATGAGACAAACTCAAGGAAATTCTAGGATTTGGCTGAAAGCCCATCATTTATTCACTTCTTAACTTGATATTTTGTGTCTAGGTATGCTGAAAGACTCTGAGATCAGTGCAGGGATTATACAGAGTGATTTGCTGCACTTCTCAGGTACATTAGGGCAAGGTAATGGTGTCGGGGCAGCAAGTTAAGAGACTTTCAGCATTTCAGTTTCATGGGTATTGTGGGTTACTGGAGCTTGCTTGCTTGAGTTTTTATGTTCTTTATAATTTTTAATGGGTGCGGCCTATGGTGAACATTAACACTTACTAAAGAAAGAAGGCTGAGAGAGCAATAGCTAGAGACAGACTTACTACGAACAAAGCAAAAACTTCCGTGCCCACATCTGCTACTAAACCTCAGTCCTATCCTGCAAGAGCTTTGCTATTCCATACTTAGCTGTGTCCTGGAGATTGGTTATTCTTCCAAATGCTTTCAATTCTTTTTTTAAATGTGGATGAACATCTTGTAGGGACATAAATAATACCTTGCCCCTATACAGTGCTTTTATCTGAGAATATAAAAGCACATTAGGTGAGGAAACTTTCTTTTACATATGGGGGAACTGAGGCACAGAGAGGTTAAGTGCCTTGCCCAAATTCATTTGCCTAGTCAGGGTCAGAGTTAGGTTTAGAATCCAGGTCTCTAGACTCTCAACATCATGCCTTTTTATCCAGGATACCTGGCCTACTCATTGGCTCATTGGGACATTTACCAGGGAAAAACTCAAGTCTCCATGGCTGAAAGACTAGTATCTAAAACCACCTTGCTTCATGGTCTTTATATCTTAACATTATCTGAATGCTGGTTTTGCTTGTGAATTTTGGAGTGCAGAGTGGGGGTTGTGGGGTGGTTAGCAGTGGTCTAAAATTTGTTTTTTGCCGATAGTGAAAGTTGATGCCACTAGAGTCTGGTCTGCTGTGTAAGTCCCTAGGGTAGGGTTAATACAAATAACGGTGGGGGCGGGGGGAACTGTTAAGAGAATCAGTTGCCAATTAAAGATTGCAGCTTCTTCTGAGCCATTGAGGTCTATCAGGGAAATGTGTGTTGTTAGAAAGTGTACTGATTCTGGAATGGCAGATTAGTATTTTTTACCTGATAGATTATTGCAGCACAACTACATAAATCCATTATGGTGTTTTGTGTAAATATAAATCTAGATCCTGTTTAAAAATGGAATTTCTGAGAAATGTGGCTATTCTGTGCTTATTCGGCTTCTGTCGCTGTGCCCTGAGTCGAGCTGCTGGGGAAACTTATGGAACGGCCATACAAATGATCTTCCGATCATATTCCCTACAGTCCCACTGCAGAATTCCACCTGTCCTGCAGGAAGGGAGTGTGACTTTTAGAAGAACTCTAGTATTTGGTGGCAGTCACCTTGCCAGGCAGATGGCATTGACAGGACTTTGATAACCTTCAGAGCTTTCTTTCCTGCCCTAACAACTGGTTAAGTGGATCTCACTAGAATTTACACCATGCTCATCACTATGGTGCCTCAGCCCCTTACACAACTGCATTGCTTCACCAACTAATCTGAATCCTTGTACAAAATGGTCACGCTGCACATTTCAGTTTAATAGGAAATTAACCCCAAATAAAAATCATTTGAGACTGATCAAGTGGCAGGGTCATCCCCATTAGTCCAGAGGATGCAGCATGTTGGATACCCATGCTGGCGATCTGAATTTGGGACCAAACTCATTCTCTCGCCTGTTCTGGAAGGCAGCACACTCAATGCTGGGCATGGTTTGGGGGTGCAAGTCCATTCTTGAACAACCTCCTCTGGCTGACCCAGGAATTGCGTCAATGGGCTGTGGAGGGAGACCAAAGCCAGTGCTCTTCCAGTGGAAGGATGGGTTGTTTCAACACGTGGCCCAGGAGAGGAAAGGAACAAGGGAATGGGAAAGGCAACAGGATAGCCCCAGAGCCCCTACTTCCCCAAATCTGGTAAAAGTCTCTATTTCCTTGTATACTTTTTCAATTGGTCAAAGAGGAATTGCTCTTTCTCTGTGTGACTCTACAGGCCAAGATCCAGGACCATGGAGAGAATCTGTGCAGCTCAGTATTAAACTTTGCCTTGCAGATTTATTCTTAGAAGCCCTGATGCAACCTCCTTTTCAACAGAGTGTTGTGTGTTGCTGGAATGTTCCATGTAAAAATGCCGAGTGAATGATGTCAACATTCCATCCTTTTTTTCTTATATCAGCCGGTCAACTGACAGATAAATATATTAAGGGTCAGATTGTGCTTGGATCCTTCAAAATTGGGCAAGCAGGAGGGTGAGACACAAAGGACTTTCCCTCCCCTGAACTCCTGGCCAGAGGCCAGGTACAAATGAGTTCAAGGATGGCATACTGCTAATGCCCCTTTGGTTGCCAGACTCCCGAAGTGGGGTGGGGAGGAGTGGGGAGGAGGCAGGGCCACCTCAACCAGTAGAAAGGGGAGCATGGTGGTCATGGTCAGGCTGCCCCTGTGCACTGGAAAGCTCACAGGGGTACCCCTCACAATGTTTCTGGTGCTCCCACTGGGGCAGTACAGCTGCGCATCACCTCTCACTCAGAGCAGTTTGAATTGTGCCAGGTAGCTCGTGAATCTTCTTGACATGCAGCTAGCATTCTCTGCTATGCAGCTGCAAGCGCTGAAAGCTATTAATCAAGGGATATGAGCTACTCTTAACAACACTACTCTACCCTCAAAACTGTTAGTGGAGGCAAACTCAGTGCACCTTGTTGCTACATTGTGGACCACTTATATTGACTGCTAAGTAGATTGACCCTACACTTCACTGTGCATTAAACTAAAGGTATACAGCAGAGATATTATTATAGTAAACACAAAGGTAAAAATGCATTTTTACTGGGATCTCTTTAGTCTTAGAAATCTAGAGTGAAATCCTGGCTTCATTGAAGTCGATGGCAAAACACCCATTGTCTTCCATGCACGTGAGTGTTACCCATAAGTGTCCATTAAATATTGCTGGGTTTAGTAATAGGTTGGTTACAAGACTGTCTCAACTACTGTAAGTAGAGTGTAGATTTAATATTCGTTTGTAAACAAAACACAACATTGGGAAATAGTTCAGGTGGGAAGTGTGTGTCAGTGGAGCCACCAGAAAGTGTCTTTTAATTTCCACTGAATAATTCTCGGACTTCAGTGAAAATCGAAAGTATGAAAATGTCTAATACTCCCATCCAACAAAGCACTTCGGAATGTGCTTCACTTTAAGTAGAAGAGTCATGCCATTGACTTTAATAGGACTGCTCGTGGGCTTAAAGTTAAGCACCAGCTTAAGTTTTTTTACTGGATCAGGGTCTAAACAAACACCGAAAGGATGCATCCACTTCACTCGTGCCATTTACCCCTCCTTCCCTCCACTTACCCTAGGCAAGTTAATCCCTCCCCACTTGGCCTTAATGTTGTCCCCTTAATGTGCTTTGGATATATACAGTAAGTCAATGGAGCTATGCTGATTTACCTCAACTGAGGAGCTGGTCTGTAAGGTTTAATATTTATGAGAGTATAGAGCAGTGTTTCTCAAACTGGGGTCGCCGCTTGTGTAGGGAAAGCCCCTGGCGGGCCGGGCCAGGCCGGTTTGTTTACCTGCCCCGTCCACAGGTCCGGCCAATCGCGGCTCCCACTGGCCGTGGTTCGCTGCTCTGGGCCAATGGGAGCTGCTGGAAGTGGCGCAGGCCGAGGGACGTACTGGCCGCTGCTTCCAGCAGCTCCCATTGGCCTGCAGCAGCGAACCGAGGCCAGTGGGAGCCGCGATCGGCCAGACCTGCGGATGGGGCAGGTAAACAAACCGTCCCGTCCCGCCAGGGGCTTTCCCTACACAAGCGGTGACCCCAGTTTGAGAAACAATGGTATAGAGGACTGTGCTAACTGGCACTTAGGGTGAGGTTTAACTCTGCTCCCATTTAAGTCAATGGGAGCTTTACAATTGACTTTAATCTGAGAAGAGTTGGGCTGAGAACTTTTGAAAATATGACCCATAATGTTTACCAATTAATATATGCGCCAGTTTTGTTTTAGTTAAAATGGGATTTTACAACATTATTTCTTCAGGTGTGTAATTTGTTCTTATAGAATCATAGAAATCTAGGCCTTCTCATGGAAGGGACCATGAGAAGCTAGCAAGTCCAACCCCCTGTGCTTAGGCAGGACCTAGTAAATCTAGACCATCCCAGTCAGATGTTTGTCTAACCTGTTCTTACAAACCTCCAATGATGGGGATTCCACAACCTCCCTTGGAAGCTTATTCCAGAGCTTAAATTCCCTTAGAGTTTTCTCTAATGTCTAACCTAAATCTCCCTTGCTGCAGACTAAGCCCATTACTTCTTGCCCTACCTTCAGTGGACACGGAGAACAATTGATCTCCATCCTTTTTATAACAGAATTAACGTATCTGAAGACTATC